CCCCAGTTCTGTCCTTTGAGGACTGTATGTGGGCACACCTGGAGTATGTACTGTAAGGAAGACTGAAGCTACAGGACTGGGACACCTGTCACAGTTACCTTAAAAGCATGATTTTAAATGCACCTTCAGATGATAAAATTGATTGCATTTCTTGAGTATAAAGCGGGTTAAAGAATGCAATCCTTTTGTGTACCTCTAGGATGTTATTTGGTGGATCCTGGGCCCAAATACAAATGTTCAAATTCACCCGGTACCATACAGGATGGACATAAAGTTTGTGTGTAATTGACTATGTTAACCTGTTTTAAGTTGCACACAAACTTTCTGTCTACCCTTCAGAAGAAATTTAAGAGGCTTTACAGCTTTTCAGTTCAATCCTGCACAAACTGAAGCCCAGAGAAGGGAAATGACTCGCCCAAGGTCACATTTCACCTCGTGGTTTAAAAGATGTCACTCACTTCACAGTTCAGGAGGCACTTTTTTTTTTGAGACAGAGTCTCACTTTGTTGGCCTGGGTAGAGTGCTGTGGCATCACAGCTCACAGCAACCTCCAACTCCTGGGCATAGGCTATTCTCTTGCCTCGGCCTCCCGAGCAGCTGGGACCACAGGTGCCCGTCACAACGCCTAGCCATCTTCTGTTGCAGTTTGTCTGGGACCAGGCTCAAACGTGGCACCCTTGGTACATGGGGCTGGCACCCTACCCACTGAGACACAGACGCCTTTGTTTTAAATATGCATGTGTGACGTTAGGATGTGTTTTATATGCTGAGTATATAGTTTCGATCTTGAAAATAGCCAATTATCCAGTTGACTCAAAAGAAGAGAAGGCTGATTCTCTTCATTGTTAGTTATTTAGTAGATATTTCAATGTTGGGTGAGTAATGTGTAAAAGTGACAAATGACAATGTCGACCAGCAGGTTGCAACGCAGGGTTAAAGACTGGAAGATTCAGGGAACTTTCTGGCTTCAGTGCTCCCTGCACCCATGTCCCTTAGTAGCAGGGGGATTTTCTGGCCCAAGGGCCCACAAGAAAAAGGACTGGTGCCAGCCAAAATGCAGATACCTATAATGTTGTTGTTGTTGTTGTAGTTTTGGCCAGGGCAGGGTTTGAACCCACCACCTCTGGCATATGGGGCTGATGCCCTATTCCTTGAGCCATAGGCACTACCCAGATATCTATAATGTTTAAAAACTAATGAAATATGAAGAGACTAACTTAGACCCCCATGGTGGTCCTTATAATGTAAATATGGAAATTTCTTGTGGAGGAAAATATTTTAGTGTGTTAACAAAAGCTTGGTTATGTAGCAGGGAAAAAAATCACTGAACCAAGATTCCACTTTTCCATTTGGTTTAGCCAGACTTTGGGTCATTTATGTGTTTCAGCTTATGGGTCCTTATTTTAAGGGTAGTAATACTCACTCTGTTTAGTTTCCAGAGATACCGTAAAGATCAAGTTATTTCTTTTACGTCAAGAGTGAAAGTTATGTTGAGACACTTGGTTGAAGGGTACTTTGTAGTTTGAAGTTTTGTTTTATTATAATACTATCTGGGTTTTAGTTGACCAAATTATGATAGTATTGATATTTCTTTGCTTGTTAAAAATAAGGTATTCCACTTCATGCCCATCAGTTTTATAAGCATTTTGATCACAAATGGAATTGGATGATTAATTTTACTCCCCGAGAATTCTGCTTTCTGAATCAGCGAGGCTTAATTTTAACAAATGATTTTTCAATTTAGCGTTCCGTGTGATGGTCATACTCTCAAGGGTGGGAAGTGTGGACAAGGTGGCCGGCCTTGAGAAGCGTGCCGTTGTTGTGCTGGAGTTCTCGCAGTGCTGAAATGAAGTAATAAAATCAGAAATCACAGAACAGTTTCTTATTTCAAAGACAGACAGCCTGACCTTGGCTTCATAGCTCAGGTAGAAACCAAGAAGGAACACGGAGGAGGAAATTGAGTTCCCCTCCAGGTGACACACAACCAGAACAACATCCAGTAATACATCTGGAATTACAATGGGGGCCATTTACCTTTGGACCCAACAGGCTCTCCCCTAGAAACGTTTCTCTCCTTGACTCTCCTTCTCATTTTGAAAAGCTCTGATTAAGCCTCTACATTTCCACTACACAACTCCCAACACACGCACACACACCCCTTATACTTTCCTGGTTCTCTGTTTTCCTGAACTAGAGCCTACAATTTAACTTAAAAGAATTCTTCCTCACACACATTGGGTTGTTTGGCTCTTTTTGAACACGGCTTCCTTTGAAGTCACCCAGGGGACTTTCCAGATACCTACACTCACCAGTGTTTTGAATTTTTTGCTGCCTGTTTCACACCCCAGAGGAAGGAAGCTTACCGGGATTAAGGGCTTCCAGTGTGCCTGGAATTGTCCCATTTGTCAGCAGTCACCTCCCAGCTGCCTCATTCCACGAATTATTTTTCATTCTCCATGTAGTAATTCTTGTGCCAGGCTGGACCTTGTGTTGGCAAGGGGGCAGCACCGTCAGGGCACAGGTGACATCCTCAGTCCATAGCATCTACAAATGAGTATTTTGAGGGGTGTGTGTGTGTGTTTTTAAATTTGTATAATATTCAACATCAGCAGTTTATCTGGAAGTATTTGTCTTTAAAACTGAAGTGGCTTCATTCAATGGCTGGGAAAAGGAATTGGGCCTGTGAATGTGTGGTGGGATTACAGGTAGGCATACTTTGTCCCCCAAGTGGTGAAATGGGATGGAGAGCATGGTCGCTGGATTTGTAGTGTTGCCCTTACGGTGCAAGCATTGCCTGGGGGTGTCTGTGTCTGCCTGATGAAATGAGAGAAATTCCTGGTTCTGCAGTAATTGCAATGTCAGTTTTGAGAAGCTCAGAATCCCCTTTTTTCCTTCCTTCCTCCTTCCCTCCCTTCGTTTCTTTTTGTTGACACTTCAAAATGTTATATTTAAGGAAGGGAAAGTATTATTAAATATCCAGGATCTGTTTGTTTGTTTTGAGACAGAGTCTCAAGCTGTCACCCTGGATAGAGTGCTGTGGCGTCACAGCTCACAGCAACTTCAAACTCTTGGGCTCAGGTGATTCTCTTGCCTCAGCCTCCCAAGTAGCTGAGACTACAGGTGCCTGCCACAGTGCCCAGCTATTTTTGTTGTTGTTGTGGTTGTGGTTGTCATTTTTGTTTTAGCTGGCCCAGGCTGGGTTTGAACTGGCCAGTCTCGGTGTCTGTGGCTGGCATCTTACCCACTGAGCTACGGGCACCGCCAAATATCCAGGATCTGTTAATTCAGAAAAGTTGGTCAAGCCATTTCCAGCACAATGAGAAATGAGGGTTCTGGGTAACTGGAGCAGAGGAGCAGAGCATCTCTGTGTGGTGACGGCCCTCCAAGTTCCATCTAGATTACTTCTTAGCTATCTGGTGTAGGCTTTAACTAACCTAAGCCTAATTTCCCAACCTGTGAAGTGTGGGTTACAACATTTTGATGTGTAAAGAGATAATGAAAGTATGAGATCTGGGACAGTTCAAAGCACTCTAGAAATGGGGTGGTGCCAGGCATCTTCAGGGGCTGTTTTCAGTCATTAGTCTGAGGTACGGGATTTGGAGTCAGGGTCAGTAGAATCCAGACACCCCACTGGAAGTGAGTTTTTTTGTTTGTTACCATTGGTGTCTAGAGGGTCAGGGATGGCCTAAGCTTTGAGCAGAGATGGTGTGCGGCTTCACCCCTCAGCTCTGCTCTGCCGCCCCCCTCTCCTCCAGGGTCCTCCTTTGCTGCAGAGCACAGTTCAGCCCTTGACACCATCCCTCAGGGGACCTTTGTGTACTTCCTGTGGCCCTCATGACCCTCCCCCATGGGCCTGAGGTGCAGCAAAGGCCACCACCAAAGATGGAGCCTGGTGGGGACATTTTGCCCTTCATTCCTGCCGAATCGTGCTTACTACCTTCTCTGGCAACTGAAGATCCTTGTCAGGAGGGCAAAGCTGACAAGCAGTTTGTCATTAGACTGCCACAGTTCGTGTTTCCATGTAAATAAGGGAGACTTGGAGTAACATGCGGCTGAGGTCATAATGGCCTCTTCGTAATGGCTGAGAGAAGAACTTGAGGGCTTGAGGGCTGCCTGCCCTCCTGACACCTGGACCTCCCTGACGCCTCTGCTTTTTGCTCCAACAGAAGCTGGCTATTTGTCATTTTTCCAGATGCCCAAGCCTTGGGAAGGGTGGTTGGTGGAATCAATACAGAGAATATGGTTTGCAGCAAGCAGCTTTCTTTCCTGAAGTCAAATCCCCCTTTGTTTCTCCTTTAAGCCATAATATTAGAAGGCTTCACCAGGAAAAGGAGAATACACAGTGCCCTGCTGTTGCTAGGTAACCAGAAAAAAAATCTCCGATTCAGTCACAGTCGAGAGTGGCATGATTTTCCCCAGGAACCGCTACTCTTGCTCAGGAACTTGTGTAGTGTTAACAGATTCGTATAATGGGGAGGCTGGAGGCTCTTCCTCCTCCTTGAACTTCTTCCTCCCCACCCCTTGCCTAGCTCAGTGAAGTCCCTGAAATGTTATCTGAGTCTTGAGGTGAATCCTTGACTTCAAGATATTCCGAGGGAAGGTCCTGTGCAGATGTAAATACGGTTTATTACACACTGGAACATACACTGGAGCGGGACTATGTACTGTATTTCCAAGGCGGCCACCCATTTTAAAAAATAAATGGGCACCCCCTTCTCAGCAGCAGCAATGACTTAACCTCTTGTGAATGATACCCAGTCTTTCTTCGCTTTACCCTTCTCTGGGAGTATTCTGTAAAAGCGTCTGTAGCCCCAGGAGACATGTATGCACCCAGCTGTTGACTAAAACGTTAGTTAGTTGTTCCGTTCCTCCCCCTGGGCTTGGCCCTTCTCTCTGTGGCTCTTTGGGCACTGCATTTCCTAATCTTAGAGAGCTCCGAGTCTGAGACCTGAGACCGGTCCCCTGACCGTCCTGTAACCTGTGCTGTCTGTCTTTTGCAGATTTGGATACCTCCCAGGCTGCGTCCCCAACCCCCCATGACTCATACTCACCCCACCCTCCGCTGCAGACATTCATAACAGAAGCAAAGCTCAATCTACAGACAACGACCAGACAAGACGGGGAAATTGGAGATGGAGCCGAAGAAAATATTGTTTACCTCTAATTGTGTTGTCATTTTTCCAAACTAAACAAAACACTGGCACTTTGGGGAGAAACTTTTTTTTTTCCCCATTCCCTATGTGTGTATGATTGTCTATGTCCAAATTGCTTTCAGAATAATATTTACTGTTTCAGGGGGCGTGAGGCTAATAATTAAGTTATTGAAAGCAGCCCTGTTTATATAATCTTTAACTTATCACACCTAATTTCAGATTTCTGGGGAAGAAACTAACTTGAATAAGTTGAAGTGTTTTAGAAGGTTTTTGGACCCTACAGTAAAATTCCACATTGCAATTTCCACCATCTCATCTGGACTTCAAGTCTTTTAAGATCTCAGTGATTCAATTTGGATTTAAAGAGTGATATGCCCAAAGGATGAACTTTCATAGTCCCTTGCTTATCAATAGTAGCCTCAGCCCCCCAAAAGGCAGAGCAGGATGTGGGAAAGGCCATATCTCAGCTAGTTTTCATGTGCTAATGTCTTTGGGGGGCATCAGAGGTGGTCATCTGTTCTAGTCAATCAACCAAGGTGTCCTGCCAGGCATCTGTTGTGATTGGTTGGCCACTATGCCAGAGACACAGTCTGGACACACTCAGGACCTGAACCACATGCTTTGCAGATACTTTCTCTGTCCTTATGCTGGCTGAGGGGGTCAAGGCGAAGTTCAGCATCACCTTTGAACACAGCCCAGAGGCCTGGAGCCCCCTGCAGGTCGGTTTTGATGTAAATAGTGAAACTCCTTTGGAGGCCTCCTGTCTGTCAGCTGGCTTGTCCCTGCTGGCACCTGTCCCACCATCAGCTACCACTCACTGGAAGGAACGCTTCCCGGGAGGGTTTTGAAGACAAAAACTGCTCACTCTTGGTGAAGACTGCGCCTGGACATACTTCTCCACTCCACAAAGGACAACTGGTACATCTTGCCTTTAGAGCAATATTGGTCTCTGTGTGAGAACCCAGGAAATACTTTCATCTGGCTCAGAATAACTTGTATATGTTTTGGTGTCAATAAATATCTTTTACCTCATTATTTTACTTTGCAATTTTAATATTAAGTGTAGGACCATAATAAAACATTTCACACACAGAGTCATTCTTTTGAAAAGTGAAAATAAAGGAGGCCTATTAAATTCATTTAAAATTGTAGCCCTACTGGGAGAGAGATGTGATAGAAAGGGGAAAAATTTTACCCAGATCCCATTTTTTTTTTCTTCATAAAGTTGCTGGTTTTTTAATCTACACTTTCACTTTGGCAAACCATAACTTAATTTTTTAAAAAAGCCTTTTCTAGGGCACTGTTTCTCTGACTTGTGCTGTTTCTGGCAACTTTTGTCATAATTACATTAAAAAGTTTAAGCTGGGCCTGGTCTAGCACTCTGGAAAGCTGAGGTGGGAGGATTTCTTGAGCTCAGGAGTTTGAGGCCAGCCCGAGCCAGAGAAAGACCCCATCTCTACCTAAAATAGAAAAATCAGCCAGGCATTATGGCAGGACCCTGTAGTCCCAGCTACTTAGGAGACTAAGGCAGGAGGCTCACTTGAACTGAGGAGTTTGAGGTTGCTATGAGCTAGACTGATGCCAGGGCACTCTAGCCTGGGGCACTGAATGAGACTCTGTCTCAAAAAAGAAAGGTTAGTGATTAATCTTTTCACAGAATAGATGTGACTTATTAAAATTCTAGTCAATAACTTCACCTCCAAGCTGAACTAAATTCTAAGATATGTCTTTTATTCCTAAAATATCTATTATAGAAAGAGAAATCTGCTTTTCCTCCTTCTTGAATAAAGTCTGTCCCATAATCCTATATCTCTTGAATGAAACAGGTACATATATTTTGGTCTGAATCTTTGCTCCAATAAGTATAAATGTCTTCTTTTTTTCATGACTGGATATAGAAATAGTGAAAATATGTGAAGATGTTCAAAATCTTTATGAGGTTCTTTAAAAATATGTGTGCTCAGCCAATTTTCAAGTCCTACAAATTTGGGGTCTTCACATAGTCTCCCTGGGAAAGCCTGGGCATTTTTGAGATACCTATATTTGTAGATGCCTCTTGGTAATTCTCTTATGTAATGTGGCTTTTCAATAGAACATAACTAAACTGCAAAGCTTTCCTGCTCAGTTCTTCCTTTTGGCTTTGTCCTCATTATGTAATGAGCTCAGACCCTGCTATAGTCTGAGAGTTTGTATCCCCCCAAGTTCATAATCACCAATGCGTTGGTTTAAGGAGGTAAGGCTTTTGCAAGGTGATTAGATCATGAGGGCAGAGTCCTCAGGAATTGCATTACTGCCCTTACGCAAGAGGCCTCAGAGAGCTGCCTTGCCCCTCCACCACATGGAGGATACGGCAAGAAGACACCTCTTGTGAATCAGAAAGTGGGCCCTCACCAGGCACCAAAGCTGCTGGCACCTTGCAGCTTTGATCTTGGACTTCCCAGTCTCCAAGTCTTCTCTAAGTAAGTTTCTAAGCCACCTCGTTTATAGTGTATTGTTGTAGCAGCCCAAACAGATTAAGACAGGTCTCAAGAGAGAGTCAGTGTGACTCCACTGCAAATTGTCAAATCCTAAGAGAAGGCCACTCTACTTCTGATGATCATAAATGAGGTTCCTCCAAAGGGGATCTACTTTGCCCACCAAGTTAAGAACTTTTGAAAAAAACCAAACCATCCCTTTAGAGATTTGTTCTGGAAAGAAAAGCAATAATTTTTGCTTTGTCCCTTCCAAGCTGCGTGAACTTATACCTCATCTCATTTAGAGTCCAGCTACTCTGCGTTTCATCAGGACTGCATAATTGCTGGAATCGTGCAACACTTCCCAGCCCACTCACAGTTGAAGCCTTGTTCATTCAGAAAAGGGTGAAAACACTTGCTGTTTTTATAGCAAAGGGGTGTGTGTGTGAGTTATGTAAGGGGGAGAATATGAGCATAATTAAATTATGGAGTGAGAAGTAAAAAGGAATATGTAATATATATTTCCTCCTGTGGCCTAGGAGCACCTTTCAAACTCAGAACCAACCTGAGGTCATTAATATCCAAGCCCTCTGCCTTTCCCGTTGAGAGGCAGCAAAGCATGGCAGTTGAGAGTGTAGATTCTGGGGCCAGACGTATCATTTGGTGGCTGTGTGTCCTTGGCGTGTTAGTTCACCTCTGTCTAGCTCAGTTTCCTTATGTGTAAAACAAGAGTGATCACCTTATGGAACTGTTCCAATATTAAGTGATTAATATGTGCAATGTGCTTAGAACAAAGCCTGGGGCATAGTAATGCCTCAATACATGCTGGCTATTATCATATCATTAAGAAATAGTTTAATAATTGCTCAGCCTGGACCTGGTCTTCGGGCAGATTGCTTCTGCACCGCCAGCAACAGTGAATAGGGAATTTGGCTGGAGATCGTTAGACACAAGACTGGGCTAAGGTTCCATAGGTTCGCTTTCAACTCATTTGTATCTCTAAATCTCTTAACTCATGTCCAATAAACATTTACCAGCTTTCTGCTAAAAGCAAAGCTCTCTGTTGGGTGCAAAGTAAAGAGGAGCAGGCCAGCAACGATAAACAAACCTAGGGCCCACAAAACAGCATCGTAAGTGGAGAGGGAAAAAGAGAAAGGCAAGCCCCCACGTTGCTCTTCTGCCTCCACCTCCCCTCTTTAACCTACCACTTAGGGCTGTGTGGAGAGTGGAAAAGAACAAAAAGGGGGGACCCATGGAAGGAAGATTCCAGAATGGTCTTATGAGAGTTTACTGTGTTCTTTCCTGACTGCCTCTCATGCACAGATGTCCATGTACCAGTGTGAGAGAGGCAGTAAAAAGATGAGGAAAAGCCAAACAAACCTGGGCTCTGCCTATGAATCTCTCCCAAGGCCACAGGGTTGCACCGTTCATCTTGTAGGTAATAGTGCCCCAGAGCACCCAGGCTGTAGACTCCAATGTGAATGGGAAACTTCTGGAGTTGTACAATCCTGCAACATAGCCTTCTGAGCTGAGTTTGCTTACCTATGGAACAGGGATATGATGGCTTAGGGGGCTGTGTGAGAAAAGTGAACAACTTCCAGCATGGTGCGTGGCATACAGGAAGCATTCTAAAAATGACAGCAGTTGTCTGACAGGGTAGGGCTAGAAAGAAGATTCTTGGACATGCTCAAGAATCAAAATAGATGGGGCGTCATTGCTTCAGTTCCTGTGTCTTGAGAGATTTCCAAGGTCAAAGCCTGCTGTTATGCTTCACTCAGAGTAAGAGCTTCACCATACTTACTGAATACGGGATGAATAGAAGAATGAGAGTCTTTGGAAATCTGAGATCAAACAGTTGATAGAACTGGAATTAGAACCCGATCTGTTACATTTCCATGACTCTGGCTGGTGAGTTCAAAGCAGTCACTTCAACTTGATGATTGAACTTCATTTTGGGTGAAGTAACGTAAAAGGGAACTATGGCTCAGTAGTTCTGTAGAAGCTTCATGGCTGAGAAATTTCAACATGCCATTAATTGAATCCTAGTTTAGCCTACCAATAAACTCTTAGAAAAGAAAAAAAGTCAGAACTTTTAGATACTACCAGCAGCCAAGGGTCTCATAACAACTGCCCAAGGATAAAGGATTAACTTGGCTAGAAAATAGGATGATTTTTGCTAATTTCACTAGATTCTATAGTTACACTGATGAACTGTCCCTTATAACTGCAAGAGCCCCAATTTCTACTCCCCAAGGGATGCCTCTTTTAGTCATAGGCCCGGTGACCACTATAAGCTCCTGACTCAATCCCACACAATACAGGGAAAAATTGTCCCCAGGACCACTGGAGAAAGTGTGGAAAGGCTCCCTTCTTGTTCAGAGACTCTATTGGGTGTCCCCATTTTATTTCATAAAAGGGACCTGATTTGTCTGCTTATGTGCATTTTTACTTACCCAAAAGTTTGTCCGAGTTCCCATCTTTTCTCTCCATAGTTTTGCGTTGTTCACCTCGTCATAGACGGAAGGGTAAGGGACAAGGGAGCTAGAATGCTGATGAAT